CCCCCCCCCCCCCCCCCCCTCCGGACGAGCCGCCCTCTAGGGCATGGCGCTCTGCTCATTACCCTGGCCAGAGGGCAGAGTGCGCTTTCCACCAGTGGTCTCTGCAGGTCCTGCTGCGGAGGATCGAACAGGAGAGGAGGTCGGTGTCCTGGTGGCTCGGACCAGTCCGCTGGTTCCCCTTCTGGGGGATGGCGGTGATGGAGCCCTGGGGCCCTCCCCGGACGAGCCGGGGGCTTAGTCCTGGGGGGGAACCCTGTTTTCACGCCCGTAACGGCCGCAGGCTCTGGGTTTGGAGGCTGAGAGGCGGAACCTCTGTAGACATGGGTCTTCCCCTGCGGTGGTGGGAGACCATATCAGGGGGGCGAGGGGCCGTCCACTGTGCGGGGCCTGCCCACGAGGTGGAGGATCTTCAGCGATGGTGTGGTTCTCGTTCTGGGATCCCTGGCGTTTGCCAGCTGGAGGGGGTCCCGGGATTCCTACAGAAGCTTTTTGACACAGGGGGGGCTGTCGCAACCTTGGCGGTTGTTCGCGGCCAGCCATTACATGTACAAAGGGTCCACGGACGGATTCGGGGGGGTTCACAGCCCGGTCTCATACGTTGGTTAAAGTTTCTCTGCGCGGGGCGCGCTGGAGGAGGCCCCGCTCCAGAGAACGCCCCCGGTTTGGGGACCTCAGGGTGGTCCTTAGGGGGCTGTCGGGTCCGCCTTTGAACCGGCGGCGGAGGCTGAGTCCCGAGTTGGTCGCTTGTTAGACCGGCCCTCTTGCTGGCGTTGGGCGCTCTGCTAAGAGGGCGGGCGACTTGTGAGCGCTCTCGATCCATGCGTCCGTTGCCTGTCCTTTGGAGCGGGCGACGGCATGGTGGTATTGTGGCCCAATCCGGCCTTTCTCCAAGGTCTTCACGTCGGCCTTTAAGGTCGAGAGTAATCTGGATTAGGGCTTTCTATCCGCACCGCATGCTCCCCGAGAGGAGCGGCGGCACCTTCGGTGTCCGTTCAGAATGCTGAGGCATTACTTGGCCATGTTCTGTCATTAGGTTTGGTGTCTGGCCCCCCAGAACAGGGGCGCCACGCTGTCGGACTAAGCGGATGGCGCACTGGGTTGCCACGGCTGTGCGGCGGGGTATCAGACGCCAGGGCTGGCCCCCAGTGGGCTTCAGGTCGCATTCCACACGTGGGGTGGCGGCCTCTACGGCCCTCCTCAGGGGGGCGTCGGTCGAGAGGTCGTCTGCCGTGCGGCTTCTTGGCGTGTCCTTTCTTTCGTCCGGTCTTATCTTTTGGCTGTGTCGGACCGGGTCGGTGGCCCATTCCGTGCTGAGTGCGCGGACTGACGTTAAAACAGTTAGGTCCCTCCTCTGAGGGGGCCTTCGGGTGACTTTCCGCCCTGGTTCAGGAGCTCTTGGGGAGGCATCCTACAGGTGCGGTACTTGGTTAGTTGTTTGGTCGGTATGAGTAGTCCAGTCTGTTGTCCACTATCGAAGTCCTAAGGGACGTAGCACCATGCGTAGAATTCATAGTTACCTAAGGTAACTTAAGTTCTAGAATAGGTGCGTTAGTCCTTAGCTACGAGCCATCAGGCCAGCCGGATTGGCCGAGTTCAAGAGGGGGTGCGCGTGTGCAGGGCGGGCCTTTATAGAGGAGGGAGGCTGGTGATTGGAGCCAAATTATTTTGATCTCTCTGGCGTGTGCCCTGGGGGTCACGAGCGATATCCCACTCGCGAAGTTCCTAAAGGGACTAGCACCTATTCGTAGAACTTAAGTTACATAGGTTAACTATTAACTACTTGCATTTGCCTAAAATGAATCATTAGCTAGAGGTGGGACTGTATATTGCGCTAGCCTGTCTCTTCACGACAATAGTTCTGCCACACCGATACAGTGACGCATTACCACACATGCTGCACAAATCCGTCTGCTATCTCACTTCATGCTCCATCCTTCCTCACTGAGACAAGACCTAAGAGACTGTAACTCCCACTTGAGGAGGACTCCTCAGAATCAGAATCAACACGTAACCAAACACGGCACCACGTAAACAGGTCCATCTTTTTTTAACACAAACAAAGACATTATGTAATTCACATCTGTACAGCTTTTGGCAGCTGGCTCAACTAAGTCAGTGGTTCTCAAGCTTTTTGCACCATGTACCACCTCCAGAAATACCTTTCCTTCAATTTATCCACCAAAAAGGACCAACATATACAGTTGCGTAGTAAGCCTAAGTAATCATCAAGCCAACCTAAAGGTGTGATCCAGTGGCATTAAGTTTCGCCGTTTGTGAGGGCGTATGTCAGCGGATTATTGTCAGTGCGGACCGTGAACCTTGCTCCATATAAATAGTCTGGAATTTTTCCACAACCGCCCACTTGAGGGAGAGGAACTCCAATTGGTGGATGGGATAGTTCCTTTCTGATGAGCTCAGCTTGCGACTTGCAAATGCCACGGGCCTTAGTCCTTCTGCATAGTCTTGATAGAGGACGGCCCCTATTCCACTCAGACTTGCATCCACATGCAACACGTATGGCTTGTTTGGATCTGCGAACGCCAATACTGGGGCATTCGTCAAGCAATGTTTGATCTTTTCAAATGCTGCCGTACAGGATTTGTCCCATCTGGATCCAAAGGGCTCCTTCTCATCAAGATAGGTACTCTTTTGTGTTTTAGTTTGGCTTTTTCCTTTTTTCTTTGGGAGCATAGCCTCTGGTGAGATCTGTGAGTGGGCGGACAATTGATGAATAGCTCTGGATAAACCGCCGGTAGTACCCACAAAATCCAAAGAAAGATCTGAGGGTCTTCAAGTTGTAGTGTCTGGGCCAGTTGGTGACCGCCTCTATTTTTGCTGGGTCTGCCGAAATGCCATCTGCAGAAACTATGTGACCCACATATTTGACTTTTGTCTGACAGAACTGACATTTGTCAAGCGAGATCTTCAGCCCAACTTCTTGAAGACGATCGAGGACTTTAAGCAATCTCTCCTCATGTTCTTCTAGTGTTCGCCCAAACACGATTAAATCATCCAGATATACCAGGACTTGGAGGAGATTCATGTCACCAACTGCTTTCTCCATCTAGCGCTGGAAAGTCGCAGGGGCTCCAGTTATGCCTTGGGGCATTCTCTCAAACTGATAAAAGCCAAGGGGACAGATAAAGGCTGTCTTTTCTTTATCCTCTTCTTTCATGGCGATCTGGTAATAGCCACTTCTCAAGTCGAGTACAGAAAACCACTTGCTACCAGATAGACAGTCCAAAGCTTCATCAATCCGTGGTGTCGTATACTGATCTGGAATAGTGCGGCTGTTGAGAGTGCGGTAATCTATGCACATCCTCACATCACCATTCTTCTTTCTTACGATCACTATTGGAGATGCGTACGGACTTCTGGACTCTTTGATAATGCCTGCGGCTAGTAGTTTCTGGATATGGCGACGCACATCATCGATATCTGCTGGCGCTATGCGCCTGGAGCGTTCTCTGAATGGTCTTTCATCGGACATACGTATGCTGTGCTCCACTCCTTTGGCTAGTCCCACATCCAGCTCATCGAAGGAGAAAACAGTGCCTCTTTCAGTTAACTTTTGGAGCAGTCTTGCTTTCCAGACTTCAGGGACAGGTGACTCTCCGAAGTCGATCTGGCTGGTGTCAAAAGACTCTGACTTTGACTCATGGCAAGGCATGGAGGTGACAACATCAGCTATGCAAAGACGACCCACAACAGTTCCAACAGGGAGGGTGACGTTCCTGCAGGACTCTTTCTGGAGCAAGACTGTGCATTTGTTATGTTCGATGGCATGGCTTGGTATAACCATTGGCTGAAGCAACAGCTCAGCGGGAAGGGGATGAGATAGTGAAGCTTCAAGCATGAGAAGTGGCTGATCCAACAAGACTGTGCAATTTGCTTTGAGACTTGAACCAGCAGAAAGTGTTAGCGATCCAGGTCCTTCCCACTTCACAACGCCTACTCCATCATCGTCCGGGATTGGGGTGATGATTGTTTCTTTAGGGCAGAAGTTTTGTATGGAAAAAGAATGGGCGGGGACACCTGGTGTGTCAATGCACAGCTGAGACAATCTCTTTGACAGACTTGCTTTTGCATTGGTCCCTATGATGACTGGTGTCTGGTCGGGACCTGGTGGATCAGGACAGATCAAGGCTAGGACCGACATGGTTGTCGGAGCTCCGGTCACTTTCTTTGGAAACTCCATATCCACAATGACGTATCCGAGATACGGGTAACTTGAGTCACTTAGGCCCCAAATGTCAAGCTTGGTTACTGGGTAGATTGGAGCGTCTGACAGATGTCGTCTGTACCATGACTCAAAGATGATGCTCACTCGAGAACCACTGTCCAAAAGTGCATCACAGAGATTTCCATTCACTCTTAATGGTTCGATTGAGGGTGGACCAATTAAGCCTTCTGGAATCCCTCTCGACTCCAGCATGTTGACTGCGCTTTTCCTCACCGTGCAATTGGAATCTTGTGACGGACTTTCATTAACTTGTGCGTTACTGGACTTGGCTCTTTTGAGGGCTTGAAGAAGTCTTTGAATAACCTTGCTTTGGTTTTCAGGCCCGTTGCATTTCCCTGCTAAGTGGCCAGTTTCACCACAGCGGTAACAGAAACGTTCTTCAGTCCCAGTAGCCGGTTTCACTGGTGAGTTTACTGCCATAACAGTGGTTGGAGCTGTGCTTTGATTTTGGCTTGTCTTTGAGTTCACCTTTTTCTGCAGGTGCTTGACTTGTTTTTTCAACGCTTGTACTTCAGGATCCAAACTTGAAGGACTTCCAGGTCGGGCTGGGTGGTTTTCTCGAGTTTCCACATCAGACAGACTTTGGGTCGCAAGAGCAGCGAACATTGTCTTTACTTCTTTAATCTCCGCTCATAGATTTTGGATTTCTGTTTGCTTGTGTTCAGCTTGAACTTTGGCATGGACTGTGTGAACCGACTGTTTCAGCTTTACTTTGGAAGCTTCATACTCTTCTTCTTTACGGATTTCTTTCAGTAGCTCAAGGAACGTTGGAGGATTGGCTTTTCTTTCTCTTAATCTGAGCTGTAACAGCATTACAGTCAGCATTCACCGCACCTTTCAGTAACTGGTCGACTCTCGCTCTGTCCATGTCTTTAGCCAGTAGTCCACCTCGCTGCACAACTTTGGCCAGGGCGCGTTCTAACCTTCTCAGGAAGTCTGACAGCTTTTCACCCGGTTGCTGTTGTAATAGTCTGAAGGAGAAATACAGGTCATCCCCAGACTCAGCTAGGCCAAAAGCACTCTCAAGGGCTTCCAAACACTTGTCTGCAGAGACATCAGCTTCAGAAAGGCGTATCGCTTTGATTAGTTCAAGAGCAGGGCCTTTTAAACTTTCCATGATCCTTCTCCTTTTATCTTTGTCAGAACCATCACTTTCTTCAACCATCAGGTAAGCTTGTTCCAACCAGTGGTCAAACTGCTCCTCTCCAGCCGGAGTAGGCACAGTACCTGAGAATATGCGTAGGCGGCGGTACCCACCACTCTCTGATGCAGGTTTGCTCGTCTTGTCCAGCAGATCTGTGACAGCACGTATAAGCATCTCTGCAGAAGAGGTAGGTTGTTGTGGCTCAGTGAATAATGCTTGGACATCACCAAATGTTTTCCCTTCAGCCTCTAGTAGGGCTTTTAGTTTCACATTGAAATCCTCTTCGGCCTCGGATGTGTCCTTAGCTGTGATTATTGGCCATGTCGTCAAGCCTTCAGGTGCCAGCACTTCTGATGGGACTTCCTCCACTGTAACTGTTTCTCTGCATTCACACAACACAAGAACGTTGTTATCAGTGTCACTCAACATCCGTCCTCTGACTCTGACACGTCCAATGCACTTAATACTTTGCAAAGTCTCTTCAATGAGTGCTACATCAGTGTTTTCAGGGACGACGGTCAGGAGGGCGTGGCTCTCATCCAGTGCTTCTCCACGACACCACTTCTTCAACTTGTCAATTAGTGTTTTTGCCATTGCATGTGTTCTTCTGTAGACGTGCAATAAAGCAGTGAAATGTGACTATATGGACTCAAAATGCAGTAAATAAATGAAATCTATCCCAGCGGTGCCTCCATTTATGTAGCCCACCTAAACCAAGTGAAATATGGTAAGGGCCCCTGAGTCCTTTTCTAACTCTAAACTACAATAAACTAAATATATAGAAATCAGATACTCACTGCTTAGGTCCTATATCTCTCTATTCACCTTTAAATGCAACCTACAACACCTTTAACTAATGAAAGTAGTACGGAATAACCAAACAACCGTAAATGAATGAACAGTAAATTTACTGGATTAGTAAATTCAAATAAAATATGTTTACATTACAGTTCAAACATTTTCTATAACTAAAGTGGGCCCACTCACCAATCACTCACACAATACACACAATAGTTATATGCTGCAGCTATAAAACTAAAGTTGCAGGCCTGAGCGATGCTTGGGAGCGTGGAGGCCTAAAACACAATGGCCGCTTCACTCTTTAAAGAGCCAAAACAAAATATAACTCCAATGTACCTGGTTTTGATGGTCAAAAGTGGTTTACTATGTCTACTCCGTTTGCCTGGAAAGGAAGGCCATGTCGTGCTCCAAGATGGCGACTGCAGATTGGTCCCGTCTCCTGGTCCTCCGGTAATGGCGCCAACTGCGAGGTCTCGTCTCCTGGTCTTCTCCGTCCGCACTGCAGCTCACACACGTCCAGCAAAACATCGAACACAGTTCTCTACATGTGCAGCTCCACACTTCAGCAAGTTCTAGTACCCTGATCGAGTGCACACGAGTCTTTTATCAGGCTGGTTTAGCCTAATTAAAGTTCATTGCCGCGAACGTTTAGCCAACGTGCGCTAAGGACTGAAGCTAACACCAACTACAGTAATAATACTCATCTGCCGATCCGCTCTCGAGCTGATGACTGTCCGTACACTCTTAAAAAAAGGGCACAAAACAAACAAATCCCGGACTCTTGGGCAAACAGTCCTGAAATTACTGTGTTTACTGCAGAAACTCAGACACTTTTTACTCTCTGCGTCTCTTCTCTGTGTATCTCCGACGTTAAGCTAAGCACCGTCTGCACGCACACTTCCGGTTTACCCTTTCAAACTAAAACCACAGCAATAGCAACACACATTGCACTTCCTGTAGACTTTCAAAATAAAACAAATTACATCGACTGCAAACGAATTCTTATACATTACCAGGCTCATTAAATGTTTTTAAACACATAACTTATTAAATGAACTATACCTTTTACTATATTTATGTAACTTATAACCAAAGTATGTTTTTAATCCTTTTTAACTGAAACTTACATTATGAACTCTTATCTTTGTATTATTGCTGCCTGTAAATATTCTATCCAGGTTACAGTAGTTTAAATCTCGAGTGTGTAGTGCGCTGTTTCTGATTGTTTACTTCCGTGTCATATGTTTGTTGCTGCTGCTGCTGCTGCTGCTGCTCGTAGATCTCTCTGTTTGGATCAATATTGTAAAGAAAACACTTTCTCTGCGTTGTCAAACAATCTGTATTCACTGTATTCTACTGTATACAGTAATGCAGTTTGTTTACGTCTGGTTGTAGTAGTATTTCCAGCGCTAGCTAATTATTATTAGCTAATTATTGTTGATGTGTGTACTATCTATATGTATTTCACATTTCTATAGTTCAGCAACACGTTGAGTTGAGTTGAGTAGTGTTTTACCAGTTCATATTTTCCTTCTCACAGAGGTAGAAAACCCTGTGAGTTTATTCCCTTATTAGATCAAATCAAAAAAAAGTATTATATTGATAATTGTATTGAGCATTGTAATAATTAGTATTATATTGAATTGAATGCATCTCCGCGTCACGTGACGGTGCGCTATACTCTCATTGGCTTATATGCCGGCAGTAGCACACACACCGGTAACGCGAGGTTGAAGCTGGGAGGGTGATTTGCTGCAGGTAGGTTTTGTAGAATTCTTTCTAAAATTATTTTAAAACGCTGGATTGGTTTAACATGTGTGGCAATCGGATGCTTAGGAGCCGAGGACTGGGTCCGTGCTACTTCTCAGAGCGAGTAAGGCAGAAGTTCGGGACTAGGTGAGTGTTTGTTGTTAGCATGTTAGCACCATACAAACCAATGGAGGCTAAGCGCTAGCGCTAATGCTAATCGGCGGAGATCTCTTTTAGAGTCGATCCTATTACTTTTCTCACATATTGGACCATGTCATGGGGTTCTGTTCATGTGTAGTGTGTTGTGTATATGTAACCCCTAACGGGCTATTCTGTGGGTGCACTTTGGTGGCGTTTTTTAGCCAGTTATACCAAAATTTGTACTGCACTTCTCTGCATTGTAAGCACCACCACTGCTCTTGTGTTTATCAATCAATAGACACTATTTTAAGAATTTTTATATCAATGTATTTGACAAATGATAATTGGAAGCACTGATTATTTATTTTGTGTGATATAGATGCTGATTATTTAAAGATTATGTCCTTGAATTATTGGACTAGATACTTTGATGTGCACATGATTTATGGTTGGTCCTGTTGTATACACAGGCCTTGTCAGATGGCGAGCTAGAGACCTGAACTATTGGAGTCATCATCTCGCTTAACTCCACTGGGCTCTCCACAAGGGGTCCACATTGTCCTCTTGGGACTCAGGAGTAGGGATGTAAAAAACTATGAATTTTCATGACCGACCACCGAGCCTCATTAACCGGTTGAAACCGGTTAACCGCGTAGTTTAAAATAGTCCACGTTCTTTGAAATAACAACCATTTCGAGCCGCGTACTTTTCATAAGTGCAGCTCTGCGTTCTACTGGATCAGAGTTGAGACAGCTGCGCCCAAACCCGCAACAGCTCCGGCACCTTTGCGCACAGAGAACTGCTGTTTTAATCTTCCCATTCTGCTGTGCTGCGGGTTAATACCAAAACTTTCTAGCAGCAAACGACGGCTCGTTCACATGGTCAGAGCAGCGAGTGATGAGCCGCGTCTCACAGGTCTTCACAAAAGTTTAAATACAAGTGATGTGTGTGGAGCTAATCCCGAGGACCATAAACACAAACATGTTTCCCCTACAGCAAAACATGTAGGGGAAATACGCGGCTCCCAAAGGAGCCGCGTATTTGCGCGAATCCTTTGGGCTCCGTGACACAGAGGAGCGCGACAGACCGGTATGTGTGTGTGTATGTATGTGTGTGTGTGTGTGTGTGTAAATGTAAGCTCCAATGTAGTTCTGACCCGCGCCAGTGTGCAACTTTGACGGTAACAGAGGGGAGAGATGATGCGTGTGGATGTTACGTATGGAGAGGGGGAAAGTGTGTGTGTGTGTGTGCGTGTGTGTGTGTGCGTGTGTGCATATGTGGCTCGTGCGGCGTGAGAGTCGTCCCGGAGTTTATAATACATAGGCGCACACAGCTAGATACAGACCCGCTCGTCACACCGTGCAAATAGGGCTTAAAATAGCGTTATTAAGAGACCTCCCCTCTCCCCTTTTTCTCTTTTTTTAACCGACAGCTTTGACCGGTTAACGCTGTGACGGTCAACCACCGGTTAAACGGTCACCGATTTACATCCCTACTCAGGAGTCAGCGGAACTTCATCTGCTCTGAGCAGGACGGGTAGGAGGCTCCTGCAGCCGCCTTCTTTAATTTTCATAACCTCAACTCTTCCTCGGGGGCCTCGGTCCGTGGCGTCCGCGTCCAACCGTGTTCCGCGCTGTGTGGAATATTTTCGCTCTCAGGGAAATAAGCACTGAATGGACTATTGGAATACCGCTTGAACTTTTGTTGCATTTGTGACTTTTGTTGCATTGGAACTGGACTTTGTATATATCGTATGGCCATTCACTGGGGTTGGGTTGTGGGGTAAATATTCTCTCTGTGTCCTTGTCTTATGTGTGTGCAATATATGGTACCAACAAAACCCAAAAGACTGTCTTGTGTATGCTTCACTCACTCCCAGAGCCGATACCTAGCTCTTCTGATCTAGCCAATTGATGTTCTCTCTTGTTGAAAAAAAAGTCTAGTTAACCCAGGGACCGGTTACATAACGTAAGGTGAAGATGGTCACATCAGACCAAACTGTGTAAACCAGCCTAATTCTGCACTGGTCACAATGAAGAAAAGGCAGTTCAGTGAACGGAACAGAACATGGCCGCAGTCCAATGGCCCAGATCAACGATCGTTAAACTAGAATCAGTTTCAGTTACGGGGCGAACTGGAACTCTAGTGGACCAAAAATGTCCCACAGTGAACACTATTTCCTGTCAAAGACTGACCCAATCTGTTCCGGTCGAATCACGACTACCCAAGGGCTTAGTTGGATCAAGGTGTACAGCTAGTGTGAAGATTTCAGGTCAAAACGTTAACTGTCTCTTGGATACAGGATCCCAAGTAACAACGATCCCAGTCTCGTTTTATAACTCCTTCTGTGCTGATCAACCTGTAAAGTCCATTTGCGATCTATTGCATGTAGAGGGGGCTGCGGGCCAAGCTGTCCCATATCTTGGATACATTGAGGTAACTGTTACATTTCCCTATGACTTCATTGGAGTCGACACTGATGT